GGGTATTTTCCGACGTCATTGTAGTTGTGCTTTTAAAGTTGTAGCAACGTGTTCTGCCGAAACATTGCTACAATTTTAAAAGCACAACTACAATGACGTGGGAAAATACCCAAACAAAGCTGAATGCCATACATGTAAGTACCCACGAAAACTTAAGAAAACACACACACACACACACACACACACATATATATATGTACATATTTTTTCTTTAAGAACTTAGTGCGTATTTTAAGAATGTACCAAACAGAATGCGACTGGAAGTTATGTGTTATATTGAATGTTATAATTGTAAAGGCATAAATTGAAGTTTAAATAAGAGTTGAATGGATAAAAATTAAAAGATACAAAGGTGTCATACTCCAATTAGTAACTACAGGGAAAAATTTTGTTTAATGAGAAAAGAAAATATGAAATTGAAACAGGACAGACCAAAGTCTAATTATAATGACTAGAAAGGTATTGAAACTTAGAAATATATATATATATAATTGAATTTAGAAAGGAATGAGATAATTAAAAGCAAGGTTGAGAAAACTAAGGGAAAGGAAAAATGATTGAGAAAATGTTAAAATAGTAATAAGATATGGAATCGAACACAAAGATGAATATGAAATTGAGTTTGTGTCTGTATGGAGAAGTGATAACCCGGGACCATGCTATTCTCAAAAAAAGAAATTTTACTTTTATTATGTTTTGTGAAAACCCAAATAAAATTTTTATTAAGAATGCAAATGACCAACTGTCTGCAAGGAGTATCAATTCCTCCATTCCCTACCATTCAGACAGATCAGAAGAAGCTTCTTGGATGATAAGCGAAATGTCTTCAAAGAAAAACCAGAAAGTCCAGTTGCCTCTTGAAAAAAAACACCTTTGGGACAACCAGGACATGGGTAACTGAGAATCTCCATAGACATCTTTCTGAAGCTAAATACACATGACTTTAAAAACTATATCTATAGTATAGATATAGTTTTATGTGAAAACTAGATATACATTTATGTGAAAACATTCACTTAAATGTCCTATAACTGTTTTCCTTTCACGTTTATGGAAATTTACCCACCTATCCTTCTCCTCAGATATATGCATGCAAAACATGTACCCATAAGACCACCATCTCTCCCATATTGCAATCCAGTTAAGTCATCCTATAGCATGGCATGGCTTATATGGAATCAGCAGTTGGGGTACTTTTTCAGGTTTCCTTCTTACTCATTTGCAATCTCTCTCTCTCTCTCTCTCTCTCTTTTTTTTTTTCAGCCCACACAAAATTCCTATTCTGATTTTCCTATGTTTTCTTCCTGTACACACATATGTGATATTTCACCGCAATAAGCCACAATGTTGAAATAGCAATTATGCTGAGTATACTGTGCTAAGTAAGAAAGCATATGACCATGGTCTTTATTGGCACAATTGATTCAAGTTTAAGAAAAGAACTGTTTTGTGCTGTATCATCTGTGCTTGCTTAAACTCTCTCATCAGGTAAACAGCCTAGCAAAAAGTAGAGCAACGAGAAGGAACCCCACGCTTACAAAGCCATGTCAACCGCAATGCAGTTTGTAGCCGGTGCTGTCTTTTTGTGCCTCCAAGCAAACATTTTCTTCAGCTCTCCCCTAAACCGATCATGTAGCCAGGCATAAAGGAAAGCATTTGTGCAAGCAGACATCATGGCAAACCAATGGCAAATCAGCTGAATAAGGTTGAAGTATTGCTTGTCTATCAGTCTGATCTCAACATCTTTGATGACATTGAAGAGATGCAGCGGCAACCAGCAAACTCCAAAGGCAGTGACCGCCAAGACAAGCAGGCGAAAAGTCTTCCTCCGCTTAGCTTGATCACATTCAGTTTGGCTCTGAGTAACATTACCAGGAACGACACGGTTTTTCAGCTTAACTGAGATCCTCAGATAGGAGACAGAGATGACCATTAAGGGCAGAACGTAGGTGAGGATGAGGGTGCTGTAGGCATAAGCTAAGCGGTCCCTCTTCCAGTGGAACCAAAATTCTTCACAGATGGAGAAGTCCAGCTCTGGAAATTCTGCATGGTAAGTATGGACCAAGGCTGGGGCAGCTAGTATGCAACTCAACAGCCAAATACCAGCCAGGATATACACACAGATGGATATTGTCAGTCTCCTGTGAAGGGGATAAACCATGGCGAAGTACCTGTCTACAGCAATGACAGTCAAGGTGAAAACAGACACAAATACTGTGACCGGCTGCATCAGGAACACAAAGTAGCACATGAAACGTCCATAGATCCACCCTCTGGGCTCAAAGGCATATGCCAATGTCAGCGGTACACATGTGGCACACATTAGCATGTCTGAGAATGCCAAGTTGCCCACAAGGAAATTGGTGACATTGTGCATTTTTTTAGTCTTGCAGATAACATAAATGAGGAGATAATTCCCAATGATGCCAACAAAGACCACCAGAGAGTAGCAAGGAATTATGAGAGGCTTGAAGAACTGGACAAGCTGGAGCCCCAGGAAGAGGCTGCTGGTGTTGCTCTGAATTGCAGAAAGAAGGCTCTGAGAGGTCAGATTCACTGGATCCATTGCCTTTTCCCACTGTTACAATTTCCTTGCCAATAAAATTAATCTGAGCACATAAGCATGCTCGTATTGCCATTAATTTTTGTTTAAATCATCTCAAGATTTAACCTTGAGTTTGGCCACCTGAAATTTGCATGTATTCATCTGAAAAAGAAAAAATGCAGAAGTGAGCCTCACTGGATGCTTCCTTACACATAGGAATACTAAGATACAATCAAACTTACAGGACCTTCTCTTCCCTTCCACATAAATCCAACTCTGTCCCTTTAAAATCATGCAGCTGAGAAAATCATTACTGCACTAAGAACTATACTTACAGCTGTTCTCTCCAGAAGTCCGATGTCATTCTGCATCTTCTTCTTCTTCTTCTTAATCTCATTTGATTTTCAAATCCATGACCAATTAGAGATGCTTGTTAACAGCAAGCAGGAGGGAGAAAGCAAGCAAGCAAGCTGTGCTTGGTGAATTAAAATACACAGATTGGAGGTTTTTAGCAGGCTTCCCTATATACTCAAAATGAATTTGGGGGGAGGGATCTCTCTCCATTTGTTGTGTGCCTTCGGGGAAGTCTGTGGATCTCTCTTTTCTCTCTTGGTTGGCAAGCCATCCCTGAGACACTTTATCAACGAGAACATCTGAGCTCGTCCAGGTGCTGAGCTTCCAGCTTCCAGCACTGAAACAGAGAGAGCTTTGGCGCCACTGACTTTTTAGAACAGGAATGTGGCTAAAAGGATGAAGTAATAAAAAAAATATCAACACTACTAGAGGGACTCAGCTACATGGAGATAAAAAAAATCAGTCCTGCAGTTGTGAGTTATATCAAATCATATTTAACTATAAGGTTTGTTGGTTCCACCAGAGTTTAGCACGTTGCATTAAGTTTGGAAAATGAAGTCCCTTGTCTGCCTAACTTGTATGTTATCTGAATTTATATTGCTAAGGAATGAGGAATATGTGTTATGAATGGAATAGACTGAACATTTCATTTCTTTCAAATAATCACTTGAGCACACAGATTTAGTGATGCCAGCTAGTTTGGTATTTTATTTATTCTCTGCTCCCTTGCTTCTTTTCCTGTTTCTAACATTCTTTGCTGGAAAATGATTTAAGCGCAACAAATATTCAAAGTGGGTTTTGTTGTTGTAATAGTTGACTCTGTATTTTCTCTTTCCAGCTTCCAGTGAGACTGCTTAAATTACCTTGTCAGAGAACAACCACACTGAAATCTATTCAGTTACCATCAAATGTTGACTATCAGAGGAAATAATTGTATAGCCCTCAAGTATAATCATATTCAGAGCTTTGCTGATTATCCCAAGATAACTTGTTTTGAATTTAAATTCCTTGTTTTGCATCAATAAATACCATCAGTTTGCTTTATCATCGTTCAGAGATTAACTTATCCTTTTCTAGTGTCATGAATATGAGCTCACGGTTTACGTAAATGAGATAAATAAATAACAAAAACAATTGAGATTGGAAAGCTTGGCATATTTTTTCAGACTAATCACTGGAATGTGGATCGCTCTGGTTAATGCTCTGACAGGAGCATTAAAATTATTTTTTTAGTTATAATCATAAAATTAAAGCTCTGCTCATTTTTTAGAGAAAAACACAAAGACAGGTGCATGTTTTCCCCAGACCTAGAAAGGCACGCTGTTTGAAAGAATTAAAATCTTGATTCATTATAAGTCAAAAGTTGTTATAAAACAGAACAGCATAACTAGTGTTTTTTTCTGTTCCAATTCAACTTTAAATAGTGTTTTCATAAGAACTGAATTGGTAGACATTCCAGCTGCAGGGTAAATATAAATAATGAATTCTCATCTAATGCTTAGGTAATGGAGTAAATCATAAGATTACGGTAATTCTGAAAACTTGAGATGGAGTTTTTTTGGCAGGGAGGAGGGTATCAATCCAGAATTTAAAACTGTTATTTGTAAATGTGTATATATCATTAGTTAATTGTTCCATAATTCCTCCCCTCCCCTCCTCCTCCCCTCTCCGCTCCTTTCCCTTGCAGCTGCAACATCCTGTTCCATTGGGATTCACCAAGACATCCAGGTTTGTTTGCACTTACCCAATATGGGAACTTCATCCTGTATTTATGCCACTGATTTTTTCCTAACACAGATGACATTTGCCTCTTCTGACATTTATTTTGCTGGGTTTGGGGCAAAATATTTCAGCTTCTTAAAATCCACCAGAGCCTTTGTACTGTTGTCTATCTTTGGGTCATCTGCAAATTTAGTAATTGTGTTTTCTAACCTCTCATACAGGTCTTTTATAAATATGGCCAACAGCACAGACCTAGGAGGATCTATTTCTGTAAAATTATTCTGACATTGTTGCAACCATCATGCAAGGTCTTTATAAAGCTGGTAGCTTCTGAAACAGGAAAAAGTCATCTGAGCAATAGATGGCAGCAAACAGTTTGATTAAGGTATAGTATATCATCCTCACTCCCAGAGTGTTGGAATGGATGCTTCTCATGTTTTCAATATTAAGTCAACTCAGGAAGGATAACTGGATAAGTTTGTTCACACAAAAAAGAAAGTGACACTTCAAAGACTAATATATTTATTGTGATTTAAGTCTCTACTTCATCGTATCCAAGAAGCATATTCCTTATTTGGGAAAATGTATTTGCACATAGATATAGACAGGGGAATGAAATTGTAAAATCAAAGAAATAGAATGCCAAACTTATGGATTGTGAAAAATATATTAAAGTATAAATTGTGTAAAATAGATAGTGACAATTCATAGAGCTATTTTGATAGTAAAAACACAATTCTTATAGCTATGTTTACTGACACGTATTATCTTTCTTAATAGTGTAAAGATGTTTTAATGTTGCATTCCCAAACCACTCACATAATATTTTACATTAGTTGAATATATTTTAATATTCAGTTAACCATGTTTGTATAGCTTCCATAACTAGCAATTCTTGATATATGGATCTAATGAAGTGGGAGATGGAATTGTTTCCAGTGTTTCCAAGCAACCACAAATATTGGAAAGATTTAGCAGGAAAGATTTCAATGACTTATAGAAAAGGAAGGAGCTATAATATGTGCCACAAAATACAATTTTAACAGATGTACAGTGTTACTTATATAATGTACTGTACACAATATCTGCAATGTTTTCAATAAAACATTCACCACCCTTCTAATGCAGCAGAATATTTTTATGCATCAAGGAAAGAACAAATCCTACCACCAGAGACTTTTCACGATACCAAAATGAATTTGTTAAAAATGCATTTTAATCTCAGTTGCTCCCCCACTGCCAGGTTTGACTATGAATATATTCTTCGTTGTGTTGGAGAAGAACAAGACAGATGTGGAGTAGACAGTGAAACATGTCATCAGTTTAGAGTCCGCAGGAGATCCAAGTCCAACCTTCCTTGAATTCCCCTGACCTTTATTTAAAAGAAATGTAGTGCTGACCATTATTCCCAAAAATGCTTTTCAAAAGGCAACTTGACTTTCTTAGGTTTTTCTTCTTGAAAATGTTTTGTTTTTCATCCAAGAAGCTTCTTTGGGAAAAAGAAAACTAAAAAAATCCAATTGCCTTATGAAAAGCACCTTTGGGCAACCATGACCTGGATGACTGAGAATCTCTATAGAGTTTCTCTGACCATTAGTTAACCAGATTCTTGTTTAGAGGGTTCAATAAATTGTCTGGGCTGCAACCGTCCTGATTCTTTGTGCCCGACGGGTTGCCTTTTGTTTGTGTGTTTGTTTTACAGAGTCTGACATTTGTTTTGTTCTGCTTTGCTTTTTGGAGCAGGGTTCGACTGTCATTTTCAACACAAAAATACTGCTGTTTTCAACACGGAACCATTAAACAATACAGACTCTTGTCTGTCATGAAATCAGGGGCACTTATTGATCAGATAACAATGCTTACAGTTGCACTTTGCCCAGAGGGAACTACTCTCCTGGGCCAGACAAGTAGTTTTTTAAGTTCTTCCCTAAAGCTATCGTGAAGCCAGGCATATATAAAGGGGTTATAACAGGCAGAACTCATAGCAAACCAATGACAAACCAGTTGGATAAGGCTGAAATAATAAGCATCAATTGCATGGATGTTAACGTCCCGGATAAAGTTGAAGGTGTGAAGGGGAAGCCAGCAAACTCCAAAGACCACAACCACCATGACCAACAAGTAGAAGGTCCTCTTCCGCCTGGCTCTGTCCCAGTCTGCCTGGTTTTTAGTGATGCTCCCTGGCATCACCCTGTTTTTTAGTTTGAGGGAGATCTTGATGTAGGAAATGAGGATGGCGAGCAAAGGAAAAAAATAAGTGATGAGCAGCAGGCCCAAAGCATAGGTTTGTCTTTGGTGCTCTTGCTCCCCCCAGAACTCCTCACATAGGATGACACCTTGCTTATCCAGCTCGACATAATAGGTATGTGCCATAGCAGGCAAGGCTAAGCAGCAGGACAGAATCCAGATAAAGAGGATCATATAAGCGCTAAGCTGAAGGGAGACACGGCGTCGCAGAGGGTGTATAATGACAATGTACCGGTCGACTGCAATAGTGACCAAGGTGAAGATAGAGACATAAACTGTCACTGGCTGCATGAAGTAGACAAAGTAGCACATAGTGCTGCCAAAAATCCAGCCCCGTGGCTCAAACACATAGGCAAGAGTAAGTGGGACGCATGTGGTGCACATCGCCACATCTGAAAGGGCTAGGTTCCCAATGAGGAAATTGGTGACATTGTGCATCTTCTTGACATGTAGAATAACATGGACCAGGAGGCAGTTACCTACCATCCCAATAATGACCACACCTGTGTACAACAGGATGATCAACAATTTGAGTTGCTGCACCAGTTGCAAACCCTGGAAAAATATATTAGTCCCATTCATAGAAGAGTTGAGAGCTACTGCAGTGGTGTTTGTAGGAAGGATGCTAGAACCTTCAAATGATCCATACATTTTGGCCTGTAAGATAACAAAACATAGTTGTAAGTATGTTCTTTAGG